TCAGAGAAAGAAAAAGGAAGAGATCAAAACGCACAACGTGTCCAGTGAGGACACTGCCAGAATTCCGTGACCACTCAACAATGGCCGCTCAAAGGAATCGCTCCCAGCGCGGCGCGCTGGTTCTGCTCTGCCTTTTCTTCGGTGTGCCATGGGAGGCTGATGCCCGGCAGATCCGCTACTCAGTGCCTGAGGAGCTGGACAAAGGCTCCTTCGTGGGCAACATCTCCAAGGACTTGGGGCTGGAGCCCCAGGAGCTGGCGGGGCGCGGAGTCCGCATCGTCTCCAGAGGTAGGACGCAGCTTTTCGCTCTGAACCCGCGGAGCGGCAGCTTGGTCACCGCGGGCAGGATAGACCGGGAGGAGCTCTGCGCGCAGAGCGCGCGGTGTCTGGTGAATTTTAACCTTCTCGTGGAAGATAGGGTGAAACTTTTCGGGATAGAAGTAGAAGTGACTGATATCAATGATAATGCCCCCAAATTCCAAGCGGAAACTCTAGACGTAAAGATTAATGAAAACGTCGCCCCAGGAATGCGTTTTCCTCTCCCGGAAGCTGTGGATCCGGATGTGGGCGTGAACTCCCTACAGAGCTACCAGCTCAGCCCCAATAGGCACTTCTCCCTAGCAGTTCAGAGCCGTGCCAATGGTGCCAAGTACCCGGAGCTGGTGCTGGAGCGCGCCCTGGACCGGGAGGAAGAGGCACAACACCACCTGGTCCTCACAGCCTCCGACGGGGGTGACCCTCTCCGGTCTGGCACGGTCCTCATCAGTGTCACGGTCTTCGATACAAATGACAACGCACCGGTCTTCACCTTACCTGAATACCGAGTGACTGTTCCCGAGAACTTGCCCGTGGGTACACAGCTGCTCACAGTCACGGCCACAGACAGGGATGAAGGAGCCAATGGAGAAGTGACATATTCATTCCGAAAATTACGTGACACGCAGTTGTTGAAATTCCAACTAAACAAAAATACTGGAGAAATAAAAATATCGGAAAATCTAGACTATGAAGAAACGGGTTTCTATGAAATAGAAATACAAGCAGAAGATGGTGGAGCATATCTTGCCACTGCAAAAGTGTTGATTACAGTAGAAGATGTAAATGACAACAGTCCAGAGGTGACCATCACATCTCTGTTTAGTCCCCTGAAGGAAGATTCACCTATGGGGACTGTGGTAGCTCTTTTAAACGTGCATGATCTAGACTCTGGGCAGAATGGACAGGTCACCTGTTCCATATCAGAGAATCTGCCATTTAAGCTAGAGAAGTCCATTGACAGTTACTATAGATTGGTGACACACAGGGCTCTGGACAGGGAGCAGGTGTCCTCCTATGACATCACTGTAACAGCCACAGATGGAGGAAGTCCACCCCTATCAACAGAAACTCACCTCACCCTGCAAGTGGCAGATATCAATGACAACCCGCCCACCTTCTCTCGCATGTCCTACTTTACTTATGTCCCAGAGAACAACCCCAGAGGAGCCTCCATCCTCTCAGTGACTGCACTAGACCCAGACAGCAAAGAGAACGCTCAGGTTATTTACTCCCTGGCTGAAGGCACTACCCACGGGGCTCCTCTATCCTCCTACGTCTCCATCAACTCTGACACAGGAGTACTGTATGCACTTCGGTCTTTTGACTATGAGCAGTTTCGGGATCTACAGATACAGGTGATTGCCACTGATAGTGGGGACCCACCACTCAGCAGCAACGTGTCACTGAGTCTATTTGTGCTGGACCAGAATGACAACACGCCAGAGATTCTGTACCCCTCACTTCCCACTGATGGTTCCACTGGGGTGGAGCTGGCACCCCGCTCTGCAGAACCTGGCTACCTGGTGACCAAGGTCGTGGCAGTGGACAGAGACTCAGGCCAGAATGCCTGGCTGTCCTACCGCCTGCTCAAGGCCAGTGAGCCAGGGCTGTTTGTGGTGGGGCTGCACACGGGCGAGGTGCGCACGGCGCGCACCCTGCTGGACAGAGATGCACTCAAGCAGAGCCTAGTGGTGGCTGTTCAGGACCATGGCCAGCCTCCTCTCTCCGCAACTGTCACATTCACTGTGGCTTTGGCCAACAGCATCCCAGAAGTCCTGGCTGATCTGAGCAGTCTTGAGCCCTCTGCCAACCCTGATGACTCCAGCCTCACACTCTACCTGGTGGTGGCAGTGGCTGCTGTCTCTTGCGTCTTTCTCGCCTTTGTCATCGTGCTGCTGGCGCTCAGGCTGAGGCGCTGGCACATGTCACATCTGCTCCAGGCTTCTGGAGGGGGTTTGGCAGGTGTGCCTGCCTCAAACTTTGTGGGCGTGGACGGAGTGCGGGCTTTCCTGCAGACCTATTCCCATGAGGTCTCCCTCACTTCAGACTCGGGGAAGAGTCACCTGATCTTCCCACAGCCCAACTATGCTGACACCCTCATCAGCCAGGAAAGCTGTGAGAAAAAGGATCCTTTGTCTTTGTTAGATGATTCAAAGTTTCCTATAGAAGATACTCCTTTGATGCCAGTGAGTTCAATTTTTACTCCTTTCCTTTCACTTAAAAAATTATGATTGGATTTGCTTTTAGGTTTGCAGCATGGTGATGGGAATTTTTAATCTTCATTATTTCACTTTTCCTTAGTTTCAATTTGCTTCTTGCTAAAATGCTCCAGAGTAGAGCTTGCCTGTTATTAACACTATAATTTACTCTCTGGTAAATGTGTGCATAATGACAATGAAGGTCTTCTGTCTTAAGATCGTAACAATTAGCTTTGCAGAGCCTTATATTTTATAGTTTTGTGTGCTTTGTTGTTGGCCACGTGCTGAAACCCTATCTCTGGTTTTGAAGGTAGGTCTGGTAAAAATAGGTAAATGTCAGAAACAAATGCGTAAGCATCACTGGAAACATGACTCAACACAAAGCCACTCAATGCTGTTCTTCCTAAAGAGAAGGGACCTTTTCCAAATGTACCTTGTGATGACAGTTACAGGTGAATATACTTCCTAGAGATTTAAAATTTTCAAAAATAGTCTATAAGAAACCATAAGAATGTGTGCTTAAATTTTTCCAAGTGATATCATGCCTGGTAACACTGCAGCATCCTTTTTGCCTGTGATTCTAGTTTCATACTGTTATGTGCTCAACTGGGTTCCTGGGAGACATAGATAAGGTTAAATTAAGCAAATGTTGTATTATGCCCTCTTTGTATTTTTTGTTAGGTTCTCCAACCTCTGAGGCTGAAAATGTATGTATATTGATTAGGGAGACAGATAGATTTGTTCATGTTCCCAAGAACAAGAGCAAGGGATGTGTACCAAGAGTATTTCTGTGTCTCCTTAATGTAGTGGAAGAAAGATCCACCTGAATCTCTGAAATTGAGTCAAAATAAACTTAAAGTCAAGAAAGAGATATTATATCTGTGGGAGATCTGATCAAAATATAAGCAGAGAAGTACACAAAATAATTCTAATCAAACTATCAGTGGAATTACTGCTGAACCTATCTGGGTTATTGTGGATGGTGATGTATTGATTTGATCTCTTACTTTTAATTTATTGCTAATATTCTTCTAAATTAATATGGTGGCATAAAGGCAAAGAGTGTCCCAATGTGAGAACATTACTTTTTTAATGTTATTCAATGTTTGTTCAATGATAGTTCTGCAGAACACACATCCTTTAGGGTCATAGTTATTAACTTTTCAATCATTGAACTGTCACTTAAAATTTCTGTCCATGAGAGTCAAAATTATTATGCATCCACCTCAAATAATTATTTTATTTTGCAAAATACAGTATTTTAAAAACTACTCTGACATGTTAAGCAAATGTTTTTTTGATATAGTTACTTAAAAGCAACACAGGACACTTTGAATTATTGCAATCAATATGGCAATGGTTACATTCTACTTTCTAACATTCTAGCCAAATATAAGATCAAAGATCAAAAAAAAGTTTTTTGCTTATCTTCAGTACTTCCCTTTGTGGATAATAATTCTTAAAAAAAACAATGATCACCTCTGGATGGAAGAACTGGGGAGCAGTGGGCCATGGAATAGAGACCTACTTTTCACTTTATAGTCTTTCATGCCTTATTTGACTTTAAAAAATACTTTTATCTATTCAAATTTATATAAAGTTTTAAAATATAAAAATATATAGTTTTGGTCATGTGAAAAATGTGCTTCGTGGTAAAAATGGAATCATGAGGGGATAGGATTCAAATATTTTAGCTGTTATCTTACATTCAAAGAAAAAGATTGCCTGAAAGAGAAAATCTAGCCTGCAGTTCCACACGGGGACTCTGGGCGCCGCTGTCGGCCAGTGCAGGGCAAGCGCTGATGCCCAGGATTCCTCAGCCTCTAGCCTAGGATTTCCTGCGCAGCCTCCAACACAGAGGGAAACCCGCTGACCCTAGGGCTCCCGGCTGCGCAGACTCGCCCAGCACTAGCGGAATCCCAGCCCCAAGACTGGGGGCTCCGCGTGTCCTGGGCTGAACGCTCTTCCAGTGCGATAGTAAGCACTTTCTCCAACTGGAAAGACTGAGACTCAGCGGCAACTGGAGCGCAAGATGGGAGGGAGCTGCGCGCAGAGACGCGGAGCCGGCCGGCTGCAGGTACTGTTTCCCCTCCTGCTGCCTTTGTTCCACCGCGCGCTCTGCGAGCCGATCCGCTACTCGATTCCCGAGGAGCTGGCCAAGGGCTCGGTGGTGGGGAAACTCGCGAAAGATCTAGAGCTCAGTGTTCTGGATGTATCCGCTCGGAAGCTGCGAGTTAGCGCGGAGAAGCTGCTTTTCAGTGTAGACGCGGAGAGCGGGGACTTACTGGTGAAGGACCGGATAGACCGTGAGCAGATTTGCAAAGAGAGAAGAAGATGTGAGTTGCAGTTGGAAGCCGTGGTGGAAAATCCCTTAAATATTTTCCATATCATTGTGAATGTCGAGGATATTAATGACCATGCCCCTCAATTCCATAAAGATGAAATAAACTTAGAAATCAGTGAATCTGTCAGCCCAGGAATGGGAACAATTCTTGACTCTGCAAAAGATCCTGATATAAGTATGAATTCACTGAGCAAATACCAACTAAGTCCTAATGAATATTTCTCTTTGGTGGTAAAAGACAATCCCGATGGTGGCAAATATCCAGAATTAATACTAAAGAAGAACCTGGACAGAGAAACGCAGAGCGCCCACCACTTAGTACTAACAGCCTTAGATGGTGGGGATCCACCACGAAGTGGCACTGCTCGGATCCGCATCCTGGTGGTGGATGCCAATGATAACCCCCCTGTGTTCAGCCAAGATGTGTATAGGGTCAGCATTCCAGAAAGCGTGCCCCCGGGGACCTCTGTGCTGAGAGTGAGCGCCACAGACCAGGATGAAGGCTTCAACGCAGAGGTCACCTATTCCTTCTTTGGTGTGGCTGATAAAGCCCAGCACGTGTTCTCTTTGGATTCTGCTACAGGAAACATTATAACTCATCAACCCTTGGATTTTGAAGAAGTGGACAGATATATAATGGATGTAGAAGCAAAGGACCGAGGATCTCTCTCTACACGATGTAAAGTAATTATAGAGGTTCTAGACAAAAACGACAACAGCCCAGAAATAATCATTACTTCTCTCTCTGATCAGATTTTGGAGAATTCCCTTCCAGGAATGGTTGTGGCCCTCTTCAAGACAAGGGACTTGGATTCCAGAGAAAATGGAGAAGTTACATGTAATTTAAGTAGAAATATTCCATTTAAGATTCATTCTTCTTCTAATAATTACTACAAGCTGGTGACCGATGGGGCTCTAGACCGAGAGCGGACTCCAGAATACAACGTCACCATCACAGCCACAGACAGAGGAAAGCCGCCCCTCTCCTCCAGCACCACCATCACTCTGCACATCTCCGACGTTAACGACAATGCCCCGGTTTTCCAACAGTCCGCCTACTTGGTCCACGTGCCAGAAAACAACCCTCCTGGGGCCTCCATCGCCCAAGTCAGCGCCTCTGATCCCGACCTGGGACCCAACGGTCAAGTATCCTACTCCATCGTGGCCAGCGATCTGGAGCCTCGGGCGCTGTCATCCTTTGTGTCCGTGAACCCGCAGAGTGGCGTGGTGTTCGCGCAGCGCGCCTTCGACCACGAGCAGCTGCGCGCCTTCCAGTTGACCCTGCAGGCTCGCGACCAGGGCTCGCCCGCGCTCAGCGCCAACGTCAGCCTGCGCGTGTTGGTGACCGACCGCAACGACAACCCGCCAAGGGTGCTTTACCCAGCGCTGGGGCCCGACGGCTCTGCGCTCTTCGACACAGTGCCGCGCGCCGCTCAGCCCGGCTACCTGGTCACCAAGGTGGTGGCGGTGGACGCCGACTCGGGACACAATGCCTGGCTATCCTACCACGTGCTGCAGGCCAGCGAGCCTGGACTGTTCAGCCTGGGGCTGCGCACGGGGGAGGTGCGCACAGCGCGTGCTTTGGGCGACAGAGATTCGGCCCGCCAGCGCCTGCTGGTCGCTGTGCGCGACGGGGGACAACCGCCTCTCTCGGCCACTGTCACGCTGCTGCTTGTCTTTGCTGACAGCCTACAAGAGGCGCTTCCGGATCTTAGCGACCTCCCCATGCCATCTGACCCCCAGGCTGAGCTGCAGTTTTATCTGGTGTTGGCCTTGGCCTTGATCTCGGTGCTCTTCCTATTGGCTGTGATTCTGGCCGTTGCCCTGCACCTGCGACGCTCCTCCAGCCCCGCCGCTGGCGCCTGCTTTGGGTCTGTTCTTTGCTCCAAATCTGGACTGGAGATTCCCCCCAACTACAGTGAGGGTACTTTGCCCTATGCCTATAATTTGTGTGTGCCTGGGGATCAAACTAATGCAGCATTTAATTTTCTCACGTCTGCTGATCATTGTCCAGCCAAGGAGGATACTCTCAACAAAGACAGCTCTTCAGCACTATTGGCTAGCATTCTAACTCCTAGTGTTGAAGCAGATAGGAAGACTTTAAAACAGGTAAGTAGTTAAAATAGTGCTTCTTACATTCCAAAGTGCTAATATATACCAACATGTAGATCCTGTGTTCAATCTCTTGATAGAGTTCCTAAAATAAATCTTGGTCAGATCTATCGATATCAATGTTAAGACTAAAGTTTACAATGCTGCGATCCTTCTAATATTCAAATGCATCTTAAAGGAAATATATAGAGAGATCTCAGGTGAAATTTTCATGAAATAAACAGCTTTTAATTAAGGATGTGGTATACAGGTACTTGTATATTGTGGTATTTTAAAATAACCCTAATACCATCCAAATTTTCTCAAACTGGGACCGTGCTGGTTCCACATGCAAAAATGCTGTGCTCTTCAGTTGGCAAAAATTAACAGGAACCAAACGTAACCAGCAAGTTTTTAGTTCCAGTAATAGTTGAAAACTTTTTAAATAATTAAGTACTGCCTTTTAATAATTACTCCTTCCAAAAGTGCTGTTGGTAAACTTTTACCATCATATTATGTAACTCTTTGTTGTTCTGCAATTTAAGCTTTACCTACTCTGTATGAATGATTTTCCAAGAGGTGAGTGTTATTTATTAACTTCTAGAACGGGCACATTAGTTGGGGTTTTTTTACTCGTTGCAATAATAAAATTGGACTCCAGGCGCCGCTGTTCACCAACCAAGGAATGGGAAGCAGAGCGCTAGAGTCCCTTCCTCCCCCACCTCTATAACACAAAGCAGAGTGAGATGAATACTCACGGATCCTGATGCTGGAAACTTAAAGTACGGACTTCTCTTCGCTCTTTAATATATTTTGGATGCAGTTGGCGCGGGACTTCGTAGATGCGTAAGCTGGATCACAACAAGCCGGCACAAGAAACCGCAGAATACCGGCTCAGCCATCGCCATGGGGAATCAGCTACCACGCCTGGACCGCAGCGGGCTGGTCCTACTGTGCATTTTCCTGGGGACACTGCGGGAGTCTGGGGCCGGGCAGATCCGATATTCGGTGCCCGAAGAGACAGACAAAGGCTTCTTCGTGGGCAATATTTCCAAGGACCTCGGGCTGGAGCCATGGGAGCTGGCGGAGCACCGCGTCCGCATCGTCTCCAGAGGAAAGACGCAGCTTTTCGCTCTGCATCCGCGAAGTGGCAGCTTGATCACTGCAGGTAGGATAGACCGGGAGGAGCTCTGTGAGACAATGTCCTCCTGTTTTTTAAATATGGAGGTACTTGTGGAAGATACCCTGAAGATTTACGGAGTGGAAGTGGAAATAATGGATATTAATGATAACGCCCCCAGCTTCCGGGAGGAGGAAATAGAAATAAAAGTCAGTGAGCACGCAACACCGGGATCGCGATTTCCCCTTCCTAACGCTAGGGATCCAGACGTAGGAATGAATGCCCTACGGCGCTACCAGCTCAATCCTAATAGTTACTTTTCCTTGCAAGTGCGAGGCGGAACCGATGGGGCCAAGAATCCCGAGCTAGTGCTGGAGGGGAGCCTGGACCGAGAGAAAGAGGCTGCTCACCTCCTCCTGCTCACAGCCTTAGATGGAGGAGATCCCATTCGCCAGGGCACTGTTCCCATTCGTGTGGTAGTCCTCGACGTCAATGACCATATCCCAAAGTTTACACAGTCTGTATATCAAGTGAGTGTCCCGGAGAACCTCAGCTCTGGAACTCGGGTGCTCACGGTAAACGCGACTGATCCAGATGAGGGAGTCAATGGGGAGGTGGTGTATTCATTTCGGAATGTAGAAAGCAAAGCTTCTGAAATATTCCACTTGGATTCCAGAACTGGAGAAGTCTCAATACAGGGGCCTCTGGATTTTGAGAAATATAGGTTCTATGAGATGGAAATTCAAGGCCAGGATGGTGGAGGTCTCTCAACCACTGCTAAGATGTTGATCACAATTGTGGATGTGAATGATAATGCCCCAGAAATAACTATCACATCTTCTACCAACTCAGTGCTGGAAAACTCTCCTCCAGGTACAGTAATTGCTCTTCTAAATGTGCAAGATCAAGACTCCGGAGAAAATGGTCAAGTTTCTTGTTTCATTCCTAAACATCTGCCTTTTAATTTAGAAAAGACCTATGGAAATTACTATAAGTTGATAACAAACAGAGCACTGGACAGAGAGCAGATCCAAAGCTACAATATAACATTGACAGCTACAGATCAGGGAAGTCCACCCTTGTCTACAAAAACTCACATCTCACTGAATGTAGCGGATGACAACGATAACCCACCCATTTTTGATCACTCCTCTTACTCCGCCTATATTCCTGAAAACAACCCCAGAGGAGCCTCCTTTTTCTCAGTGACAGCACTTGATTGGGATAGCAAAGAAAATGCCAGGGTCACCTACTCCCTGGTTGAGGACACCATTCAAGGAGTTCCCCTGTCCTCTTATATTTCCATCAACTCAGACACTGGTGTCCTGTATGCACTGTGCTCCTTTGACTATGAACAGCTCCGAGACCTGCAGCTACAGGTGATGGCGCAGGATAGTGGGGATCCTCCACTCAGCAGCAATGTGTCCCTGAGCATATTTGTCCTGGACCAGAACGACAATGCACCAGAGATCCTGTATCCTGCGCTCCCCACTGATGGCTCCACTGGGGTGGAGCTGGCGCCCCGCTCTGCAGAGCCCGGCTACCTGGTAACCAAAGTGGTGGCAGTGGACAGAGACTCAGGCCAGAATGCCTGGCTGTCCTACCGCCTGCTCAAGGCCAGTGAGCCAGGGCTCTTTGTGGTGGGGCTGCACACAGGCGAGGTGCGCACTGTGCGCACCCTGCTGGACAGAGATGCACTCAAGCAGAGCCTGGTGGTAGTGGTCCAAGACCATGGCCATCCCCCACTCTCAGCCACCGTCACCCTCACTGTGGCTGTAGCTGACAGCATCCCAGAGGTCCTGGCAGACCTGGGCAGCCTGGAGTCTCCCACCAACCCCGATGATTCAGGCCTTACATTGTACCTGGTGATGGCGGTGGCTGCAGTCTCCTGCGTCTTTCTCGCTTTTGTAGTCATACTTCTGGCACTCAGACTGCGGCGCTGGCACACATCACGGCTGCTCCCGGCTTCAGGAGCTGGGTTGGCAGGTGTGCCTGCCTCTCACTTTGCGGGCGTCGATGGGGTGCGGGCATTCCTGCAGACCTATTCCCACGAGGTCTCCCTCACTGCAGACTCTAGGAAGAGTCACCTGATCTTCCCACAGCCCAACTACGCTGACACACTCATCAGCCAGGAGAGCTGTGAGAAAAGCGAGCCTCTCTTGATAGTTGAAGATTCAGTTACCGGTTTAGGCAAATGTGATCCTACAACTAATCAGGTGAGATTTTTTTTCCCTGCCTCACAATTATTAGTGTCTCTACAGAAGTCCATTAAATTGCTTTTTTTCTTTTTTTGATGAGTCTCTTTTTAAAAGTGTTGGGGGGCATATTCAGTTCATACAGACTTAGAGCAATACATGTGAGTTTGTGTATTTTACCTGTAATCAAATCACCATTTTTCAGAAAGGTCTTGTGAAAGTCATTTTTTTTTAGTCTTGGTTTTCTTTTAAATCCAGAGGTCTCATTTTGCTATCATGGCCTGTTCTATAGTAAGTTGAATTTAGTAATACTTTTCTATCATCAGTGTCTGTGGCTATCAGTGTAAACTGGTTGTGACTCTCCAACATTTATTTATTTCCCTATTTAAACTTTGCATCACCTCCATGATTATAATTATATTTTACCATTATTTGCTTTACTTCTGATGCTCAGATTTGACCCTGTTGATTCAATAGCGTACTCTCTCTAGCTCTTTTTCTTATCTATCTACATACACATAGTCACACATATGTCTACATTTATGCATGTAAGCTTTTTTTTAGCACAAAACAATTATATTTTCACTTTTGATGGCTGCTAATGTGTTTAGAACCTGTTGATCATTTCAACATTGTCTCACTTATTTATCCCACCAAAACAGACATGTTGACTGCCTTTTAATTACTAGACTCCCTTGTGAGAAGAAATGTAGAACACACATTTCCCCTTATGTTCTAGACATCTTTTCTATTTCTACAGTGAAGTCATTAGGTAGTTTGAAGAGATAATTGAGTTGTTGAGCTGGTGTTATTTCCTTTTATTCTTTTACTTATACTTTAGTGTATGTGTTGAAGGTTTTTTTTTAATGTAAAGTCACAGAAATAATTAATTTTAATCCAGTGCTTCTCAAAAAATTATTTTCAAATCTGTTAAGCATGTTTACATTTTTCATATTTATTCATAGGGAATAGTTTGTGAATATAAGAGATGGAGTGGGTTTTTGGACTTAATAATAGACTGATTTAGATGGTATTCCTTTGGATATTTTTGTTTGTCTTCAATATGCCCATGAGTTGTAGATTCCCTGTTTCTGTCCTTCGTAAATTCATTTTGTATCATGTCTACGTGTACTCAGTTCTTATATTCAGAGCCAACCTGTTATTGAAGCCCTAAGAGTTACCTACTAACACACACATTACCTGAAGCAAGGTGTAGGAAAGTCAAGTGTGGCGAGGAAACCAGTTAGGGTACTCGATCACAGGAGTCATCTCCATAATCAGTCCAGCTCCTCACTCTCACACCGCTTCTAGATATTTGGTGCAAATTATTTGTATACTCGTGTTCCCTTTTAGGAATTTGCCTTAATGTAATTAACTGTACATAGCATATTTAATAATTGGGCAAAAAAGAGGTTCAACTGTAGGAAAGGGAAGTCTTGTAACAGATGCCTAAATTTGTCTTGAATCAAGAAAATGTTCTTGTGTTCAGAGCATCTCGGGATAGAATTATGTTTATAGAATTCCAAACTGGGACAAAGATTGGACACATTTCGTTTGAACTGAAATTAGATGAATAAAAAGGATACGAGGTATTTTTCTGGAAGAGGGAAGTGTTCTGTGTCTTTTAAAATGTAGTCTATCAAGATCTTGGAAAATAAAAAGGAAAGGATGGTTTTGAAACTTAAGCTTAAGAAGGTTATTTTGACCCAAAGGTAGTAAAGTTCTGGTCAGGAGCAACATGTGGTCCAATAAATACATGGGCAGAGCCCTGACCAGTATGGGTGTGGCTCAGTTGGTTGGTCATTTCCCACAAAGCAAAAGGTGGCCAGTGGGATTCCAGGTCAGGGCACATGCCTAGGTCCCTGGTTGATGCATACAAGAGGCAACCTATCTATATTTCTCTCACACATTCACTGTTTTTCTCCCTCTCTTTCTCCCTCCCTTCCCCTCTCTCTAAAAATAAATAAAATCTATAAATAAATAAATAAATAAATAAATAGAAAGAAAATACCTTCACATTTCCTGTCATTAAATTCCTATGGTGACCTACTAGGGTATACTTTTATAAGTAACAACAAAGACCTGGTGGCAGTGGCCGTCCTCACCCTGAGTGCACACTATATAGCTTTGAGATCTCCTCCAGTTTCCTCTGGTAAATGAAGAAGGGAAATTTATCTGCACATACGATTGAATCTAATACTGGGTGTCATTGCATGGCTGTCAAAATTTCTCCATACCACTTGGTGGGGCTATTTTCTCACGTGGTCTTTGTTCGAAGTCTGGAGAGAAGACTGCTTTGTTCTTCCAGTATCTTCACTGCCTCCGATTAGAAAAACACAAACTTATCTCATTCGTGGGTTAGTGGCTCTCCTACAGGATCCCATCTCTAAGGAACTTGGGTAGTAAACACTGGAAAACAGATCCATCCAAAACTCACAAATTGACTCCTTTCCTATGCAACAGTCCAACATAGCTGTTGGAATAGTAAATCCCAATTGTCTGCAAGGCTCTGGCTGCAGTTTTCAAAACAGACTCCGAGCGCCGCTGTTGGCCAATGTGCTGCAAGAGCTGGAGTCCAGGATCCACCCCAGCGATTTTCTGCGCAGCCACAAAAGCAAGTGCAAAAGGAGAGGGAGCCGGACGCCGCTGCTCCGCAAACCTGATTTCGGAATACCGATTGGAATACCTTCAAACTGGGAGCCTTGAGTTTTCGACGCGGTGGAAGTAGGTATTTTAAACGCAATTTGTAAAGAAAACGTCTCAACGCCAGAGGCTGCGGCAGGACGGAGAAGGATGGGAAACCGGGCGAAGCAGAGGAGCAGTACCCGGCGGCGGCGGCAAGTACTCTTTCCCTTCCTGCTGCCTTTGTTCTGCGGGGCGCTCTCCGAGCAGATCAGCTACTCCATTCCGGAAGAAATGGCCAGCGGCTCTGTAGTGGGGAACCTCGCTAAGGACCTGGGGCTGCGTGTACGGGATTTATTGACCCGCAACCTCAGAGTTAGTGCAGAGAAACAGTACTTGACCATAAACACGGAGAATGGGAACTTACTTGTGAGTGGTAGAATAGACCGGGAGTCGCTGTGCCCTCAAAACCCCGTATGTGTCCTGCCCTTAGAGATTGTCGCAGAGAACCCTCTAAATGTTTTTCACATAAATGTGATGATAGAAGATATAAATGACAATCCACCTCATTTTCCCCAAAATAGCATTGTTTTACAAATCAATGAATTTGCAATTCCAGGATCTCGGTTTGGTCTGGAATCCGCTATAGATGCAGATGTAGGGCCCAACTCTCTCCAGAGTTACCAACTCAGCCATAATGAGCACTTCTCTCTGATGAAAAAGAGTAAGACAGAAGGCAAGAACGCCCCAGAACTGCTGTTGGAGAAGCCCCTGGACCGAGAACGACAGAGCTCCCACCTCCTGGTCCTGACAGCAGTGGACGGGGGTGACCCAGTCCGAACTGGCACCACTCAAATCAGGATCGAAGTCACTGATGCCAACGATAACCCCCCAGTGTTCAGTCAGGATGTGTACAAAGTTAGCCTGCGTGAGAACTTGCCCCCAGGCACCTCTGTGCTAACAGTGACAGCCACTGACCAAGATGAGGGCATCAATGCAGAGATCACCTACTCCTTCAAAATAGTAGGAGATGTTGGAAATATGTTCACACTAGATCATCAAAGTGGAGAAATTAAATCCAAAGACCCTATAGACTTCGAAAACAGTAGCAGTTATACCATAACCATAGAAGCCAAGGACGGTGGAGGCATGGCCACCGAATGCAAAATTATACTAGAAATTCTAGATGAGAATGACAACGCCCCAGAGGTGGTTTTCACGTCGGTGTCTAGTTCCATAATGGAGGACACAGAGCCTGGGACAGTAATTGCTTTGTTCAAAACATATGATAAAGATTCGGGAGAAAACGGGCAGGTCTCATGCCTCATAAAAGAGAAAGTTCCTTTTAGAATTCAGTCTTCCGCCAATAATTACTACAAGCTTGTAACAGATGGGACCCTGGATCGGGAACAAACCCCGGAGTACAATGTCACCATCACAGCCACTGACAAAGGCAAGCCGCCCCTCTCCTCCAACAGAAGAGTCACCCTACACATCGGGGACGTCAATGACAACCCTCCAGTTTTCCAACAGTCCGCCTACCTGGTTCACGTGCCAGAAAACAACCCGCCTGGGGCCTCCATTGCGCAGGTCAGCGCCTCCGACCCCGACCTGGGACCCAACGGCCAAGTCTCCTACTCCATCCTGGCCAGTGACCTGGAGCCACAGGCGCTGTCGTCCTACGTGTCCGTGAACCCGCAGAGCGGCGTGGTGTTCGCGCAGCGCGCCTTCGACCACGAGCAGCTGCGCGCCTTCCAGTTGACCCTGCAGGCTCGCGACCAGGGCTCGCCCGCGCTCAGCGCCAATGTCAGTCTGCGCGTGTTGGTGACCGACCGCAACGACAACCCGCCAAGAGTGCTTTACCCAGCGCTGGGGCCCGACGGCTCCGCGCTCTTCGACACAGTGCCGCGCGCCGCTCAGCCCGGCTACCTGGTCACCAAGGTGGTGGCGGTGGACGCCGACTCGGGACACAATGCCTGGCTATCCTACCACGTGCTGCAGGCCAGCGAGCCTGGACTGTTCAGCCTGGGGCTGCGCACGGGGGAGGTGCGCACAGCGCGGGCTTTGGGTGAAAGGGACGCGGTGCGTCAGCGCCTGCTGGTCGCTGTGCGCGACGGGGGACAACCGCCTCTCTCCGCCACCGCTACACTGCACCTGGTCTTTGCGGACAGCCTACAAGAGATACTGCCAGACCTCAGCGACCATCACACACCCTCTGACCCCCAGGCTGAGCTGCAGTTTTACCTGGTGATGGCTTTGGCCTTAATCTCGGTACTCTTCCTCCTGGGGGTGATTCTGGCCATTGCCATGCGCTTGCGACGACGCTCCTCCAGCCTGGCTACCTGGCGCTGCTTTGAGCCTGGTCTCTGTACTAAGACTGGACCAGGG